AGAAAATTCAATTTTTAATATTATAATTTAATTAAATATTTAAATGTTATCATTTATAAAATTTCTTTTATTATGTTACCTTAATTAAGATTTATTAATAACTTACATATTTAATAGAAAACAATGCAAATGACCAATATACCTTTATTGATTAAATTTAATTAGAAAAAAAATGGAATTTTTCTATTGATCGAAATTAGTTTACACGGTTTTCATTTGAACTTGCCCCCCCCTCTCTCTCTCTCTCTCTCTCTCTCTATATATATATATATATATATATATATATATATATATATATAAGTGGGAGTTCAAACGAGAACCCCTCTCTTTCGCGAAAATGCGAGAACAATTGTGGCCTCTACCCTTTTTAACTATTTATGTAGGTATTTTTTATTATAATTTTCTATGTTATTTTAATTAATTGTAATTATCCCATTTTAGTTTGGAACTGATCACGTTGAACTCACGTCCCCATCTCTATCGTTTTCTTTATCTGGGTCGGTCTTGTGATAATCTCCGTCTCAAATTCATTTTTCGACCGAGAATGGAAGATCCAAGTGGCCTTGGTAAGGAATATCGATGTTCATACAAATTCAAGTGAGAATCAATTTTGGAGTTGTAATAGTTGGCTTGTTCGATTTCTATACCATGTCTAACTGTGATAAGTCTGTGATAGACATCGATTACATACACTGTGATAATCATGTTATTGCTTGAAGCAAGCATTCTGGCAATTACATACATTATATATTAATTGATTTTCCCCTAATTACACTGTGATAATCATGTGATAAGAAAGCAATCCTACAATTACATACATTGAACATTGTGAACCAACCTTACCTACACTATGATAATTGTGCGATAAGCAAATCTTACTTGATCAGTATCACACAATTATCACAAGTAAGATTTGTCACATTTGTCGCTATTCGATTAATAAATCTTGATAATTGTGCGATAACATATTGTGTAATCGGATGTACTGTTGCTGTGAACTTTGATACTCGTGTGAAATCGACAATTGTATAATCGAGTGTTGCACCTGTTCGACTAAACTATTTCATTATGGAATAGTTTATGATAAATATGTGATTCAGCCCAAACCGATGACACAATAATCCAACCCTAATCGACAATCATGTGTTAATTCGTGATATAACCCTAATAGATAAAAACAGATAGGTTATCATCGACTTATATTGTGAATGTGGCCTAACTAGACTGTGATAATCATGTGGTAAGAAAGCAATGTGACAATTATATACATTCTATGTTACTCGATTTAGCCGTTTTGCTGTTGATAATTGAATAAACTATGATAATCGATCAGACTGTGTTAATCAAACACATATGATGTAGATTTCTGGAGTTGTAATAGTTGCTCTTTCAATTTCTCGACCATGCCCTAAACTGTGATAAATCTGTAATAGACATTCAACCATCAAATCCCTAATCGATAGGCATTTAATCATTGAATCCCTAATTGATTACAGACAACTAGCAAACCTTAATCGAAGTGTTATAATATGTGATTAAGTTGTGATAACCATTTCCAAAACGCGTTACTTCCTCAATTCCTTGTTTTCGGTTTACCTAATAGGCCTACTATCATTGTATTGTTGTGATAACCACGTTGCCGATTTCACTCCCCAGATAATCGGAATACTCGTCATCGCGTTATTTGAAATTTGCTATACCAATTTCCAAATTTACCCTCCCACGTCTTTATTATTTTTGAAGTTTTTAATGTTTATTTAAATCTGAGAAAAATCTTTTAACTTTTCTTAAAATGTGATTTACAACATAATGCTTGGCTTATGACTGTTCTCGCATTCTCGGAAAAATAAGGGATTCTCGTTTGAACCCTTTCATATATATATATATATATATATATATATATATA